TTTTTCGTGGGTTAGAATTATGCTCTACATCCTTCTCCAGCTCTGTCCAGAACCCTCTGCTGTGATCCCGGTCAGAGCAGTCAGTGGTGGTAGCCAGGCACCATCTAGCTGTACTGGACTCAGTCCGGTGGAGGCCTTGGTATGTTTTATTTTTTACAACATAATTTTATTGGAACTTTATATTGGCTCTTTTTCTCCTTGTTTTCTTAATCTCAAAATAAAGTATATTTTGACTTGTCGTGACCCTGTGTACAACAGAACGAAACACTGCACGGTCCTGTGCCGTCCTCACAATCGTTGCTATGTTTGAGTCCATTGCTGTAGCCACTGTGTCAATCCATCTTGTTGAGGGTCTTCATCTTTTTTGCTGACCCTCTACTTTACCAAGCATGATGTCCTTCTCCAGGGATTAATTCCTCCTGACAACATGTATAACGTACGTGAGATGAAGTCTCACCATCCTCACTTCTAAGCAGCATTCTGGCTATACTTCTTCCAAGACAGATTTGTCTGTTCTTCCCTCAGTCCATGGTGTATTCAGTTTTCTTTGCCAACACCGTAATTCAGAGACATCAAGTCTTCTTCGGTCTTCCTTGTTTATTGTCCAGCTTTTGCGTGTATATGAGGTGATTGAAAATACCATGGCTTGGGTGAGGCACATTCTAGTCCTCAAAGTGACATCTTTGCTTTTTTAAATTTATTTATTGTACTTTAGATGAAGGTTTACAGAACAAATAGTTTCTCATTAAACGGTTAGTACACATATTGTTTTATGACAATGGTTAACAACCCCATGACATGTCAACACTGTCCCTTCTCAGCCTTGGGTTCCTTATTACCAACTTTACTGTCCCCTCCTGCCTTCTAGTCCTTGTCCCTGGACTGTTGTGCCCCATTAGTCTCGTTTTGTTTTATGGGGTTGTCTAATCTTTGGCTGAACAGTGAGTCTCGGGAGTGACTTCATAACTGAGCTAAAAGGGTGTCCAGGGGCCATTCTCTCAGGGTTTCTCCAGTCTCTGTCAGACCAGTAAGTCTGGCCTTTTTTTGTGAGTTAGAATTTTGTTCTACATTTTTCTTCAGCTGTGTCTGAGACCCTCTGCTGTGAACCGGCTCAGAGCAGTCAGTGGTGGTAGCCGGGCACCATCTAGTTGTACTGGACTCATTCTACAAATATTAATTGACTCCTTGCTATGTGCCAGGCTGACAAAGTCCCTGCCCTCCTGGGGCGCATATTTCTAACGGAAGTACAAATTCTAGGCTTTACAAGTAACATTTGTTGTTTTTGCTTTATCACGTATCTAATGACCTATCCAAGGAGCCCTGGTGGCACAGTGGTTAAGTGCTTGGCTGTTAACAGAAAAGTTGGCCGTTGGAACCCACCAGCCACTCCACGGGAGAAAGATGTGGCAGTTGGCTTCCATAAAGATTATAGTCAAGAAAACCCTATGGAGTAACTACTCTGTCCTGTAGGGTCGCTCTGAGTCCGAATTGACTAGAGGGCAATGGGCTTCATTTGGTTTAAACAATACATCCATCAATTCATCTTATTTTTTATGCATTTCAAAGTAAAGACATTAGTGCACTCCACCCTTAAACACCTCAGCCTGCATATATTAACTAGAGTTCAATATTTATTTACAGTCCATTTTGTTTTATTGTGGAGATTAAATTTACTTGGAGTGGAATTCACAAATCTTAAGTGTACCATTAAATAATTTTGACAAATGCATACACCTATGTAAGCCAAGGAAACCCTGGTGGTGTAGTGGTTAAGAGCAGCTGCTGCTAACCAAAAGGTGGGCAGGTCGAATCCACCAGGCACTCCTTGGAAACACTGCAGGGCACTTCTACTCTGTCCTATAGGGTCGCTATGAGTTGGAATCAGCTCAAAGGGTTTGGTGTTTTTGTTTTTGTTTTTTTTTTTAATGTAACCCAAACTCTTTATCAAGATGTAGAGAAATGTTTTCAACCATTTTGTTTGTTTGTTTGTTTGTTTGTTTTCATTATCAACCCCTAACGAACTTTTTAAGATAGTGTTTCAAAATCACCTCCCCACGAAATGTTAATATCACAAATATACTGTGTATCTGTTTATGTATTGCGGCCCTTTGGAGGTAATGTCTTAAATTTTTTTGCCACCTAAGAATTTTTGCCCCATTGGGGCAATATTACCCCCTTGATAATGCATTACCATCACCCCAGAATGTTAATTCATGCCCCTTCCCAGTCAATCCTCAACCCCCTCCAGAGGCCACCCTGTTCTGATGTTCTTCACCATAGATTAGTTTTGCCTAGTGGCAAAATGGAATTATATTAGACACTCTTTTGCTCCTTACAGCATAATATCTGTAAGATTCATCTGTGTTTTGCATGTTTCAGTAATTCCTTTTTATTGCTGAATAGTGTTCTAATTACATAAGATGCCACAATTTGTTTATTCTTTCACCCGTTGATGGGTATTTAGGTTGTTTCCAGTTTGGGGCTATTATGAATAAAGTTGTTACAGCATATCTGTGGTATTAAAACTATGTGGGGAAGAGGTGATTAGAGAAAACTGTCTAGAAAGTTTCCTTAAGGAGTAGATTTTAAAAAAAAGATTGAAAACACTTTTTTCTCTATATCTCAATAAAGGGTTTGAGTTACATAAAAAAAAAATTTAAAATTCAAATTCATTGCCATGGAGTTGATTCTGACTCATGGCAACCCCATGTGTTACACAATAGAACTGCTCCATGGGATTTTCTTTGCTGCAATGTTTACCGAAGCAGATCACCAGGCCTTTCTTCCCTGGTTCCGATGGGGGTTGGGTTGAACCACCAACCTTTAGGTTATAGCAAATCGTTTGTACCACCCTAGAGGCCTGATCATTCATGTACAAGTCTTTACATGGATATACGCTTTCATTTCTTGAGGAAGTATGTAGGAATGGAATTGTAGGGTCATAGGGTGGGTATATGTTTAGTTTTACAAAACTGAAAGTTTGGTGGTTCGAACCCACCCAGTGGCTACACAGGAGAAAGACCTGATGATCTGTTTCCGTAAAGATCATAGCCTAGAAAACCCATGGGGCAGTTCTACTCTGTCACACGGGGTTGCTATGAGTTGGAATCAACTCAATAATACCCAACAAGAACAATTTTAAATAAAGTGTATTAGCTCATTTAATCCTTATACCAACCCTGTGACCCCACCTCAACCCATTGCTGTCAAGTCAACCCAATTCCAACTGTCAAGTCAATTCCAACTCACAGCAATCCTATAGGACTGCCCCATAGAGTTTCCAAGGAGTGGCTGGTGGATTCAAATTGCCAACCTTTTGGTTAGCAGTCGTAGCTCCTAACCACTGCGCCACCAGGGCCCTGTGAGGCTGGTACTATTATCATCCCCATTTTACAGTTGAAGAAACTGAGTCTCTGAGGAATTAAGAAACTCAAAACAATACTCAAGGCTTGCTCACTCCGAAAACCCCCCACAGTCACTTGGCTCTTCCCGTCCAAGAGAAAGCTTCCTAGAAAATGACTCAGATTCCCTAGAGGCTTTTCTTGGTCTTCATCCACCCCTCCTCTCCTCAGCAGCTTTGCCCCTCTGGGGAATCCTTTCCTTTCTTGGCTTCTAGGACTTTGTGGGTTCTCCTGCTCCCTTGTCCACTCCCGTTCTCCTCCGACTTCTCATGCTTACTCCAGGTTCTGCCCTCCGATTTTTCCCACCACCCCTGAACTTGCTTTTCTTCAAATCTATCATTCTCTCTACAGACATTTACTGAGGTCCTGCATGGCACCAGGCCCTGTGCAGTGTCCTGGAGGCACAACAGTGAAGGAGACAGAAAAGTTCCTGCCGCATGAGGCTTACAGTCGACGGAGGAGAAAGCCGTTAATCAGTGATGCACACTAAATTATCCTTTCTAACTGAGGTCAATGGTCTGCAAAAAGTCACAGGGCCCAGCCTAGGCATGCAGGCAATGTTGCCCAAAGAACCATTGCGTGAGCTGAAGTTTGAAGGAAAAC